TTTTGTTTCATGACATTGACTTCAATTCCCGCAATGTAACAGCTCTCTTCCCACTTCCTCCCTGTAGTTACCTCTTCCCTGTGTCCTTCTTTCCTATGCATTCCTGCCCCCTGAGCTATCTCCCTGTGCAAATACTGCCCTTCTGTTCTCCCATGATTGATTATTCTAAGGAGTGTATCTACCTGGTATAAGTGTTCACCCTATATGCCTATATGCTGAAAGCCACAGAAGTGAGTTCAGTTCCATACCTGAAGGGTAACTAGGGGCCATAGTCTCGGGGGTTTTACCGGGCTCTATCAGACCATTAAACTATTTTTTTTTTCTTTTTCACTACTAAATCATACCCACTGTATTGATAAGCAGGAGCTCTGGTAGCATAGTCCCTAAGGCATTTGACTGCTGACCAGAAGGCTGGCGGTTCAAACCTACCAGCCACTCCTCGGAAGGAAGGTTGGGCAATCTACTTCTGTAGTGATACCAACTCGGAAACCCAAGGACGGGTTACTATGCGTCGGATCTGACTCCGCGGCAGTGGGTTTTTGGTTTTTGGTATTGATAAGCAATGTGTTTGTTTATTCTCCTGTTGATGGATTTTGGATTGTTTCTCATTTGGAGCTGTTATAAACAAGGCTGCTATAAACATCAGTATACAAGTTTTTGTGTGGACTTAACATTTTCGTTTCTTTGGAGTAAATGCCTAGAAGTGGAATTGCTAGATCCTTGGGAAAATATATATTTATAAGAAGTGGCCAAAGAGTTTTTCAAAGTGATTGGACCATTAAACACTCCCCACCAATGGATGTAAGTTCTACTTGGTCCACATTCTAGCCAATACTTGTTATTGTCTGTCTTTTCGTTAATTTTTATTGTGATTTGGGTGAGTTTACAGAACAAATTCATATTCCACGCAGCAGTTCACATACACTTTGTCCCATGACATTGACTGCAGTCTCCCACAATGCAACAGCTCCCCTCCCACTTCCTCCCCTCCCCATCGCCACCTCTTCCCTGTGTCCTTCCTTCCCATGCACTCCTGCCCACATAACTGTCTCCCTGTGCATACATAGCTTTTCTAGTCTCCCATGATTGATCTCTCCAAGGAATGTATCTACCTAATGTAAATGTTCAGCTCATATGCCTGTCTTTTGTTTGGCTGGAAGCCACAGGAGTGGGTTCAATTCCAGTATTATCTGTCTTTTTTATTGTAACCTTATTAACCCCCAAAAAACCTGTTTCCGTTGAGTGGATTCCTACTCATAGTGACCCGGGAGGACAGAGTAGACCTGCCCCATAGGGTTTCCAAGGCTCTGATCTTTACAGAAGCAGACTACCACATCTTTCTCCCATGGAGCGGCTAGTGGGTTCGAACTACCACCCTTTCTGTTAGCAGCTGAGCACTTAAACACTGTGCCACCCAGGCTCCATTACTGGGACTTGGCCCATCAAGGGAGTTCTCACCCAAGAGTTCCTGGGTGGTGTAAACAGCTAATGAAATTGACTGAAAGTTTGGAAGCTTGACTCCTGCCACAGGTACCTCAGAAGAAAGACTTGGTGATCTCCTCCTGAAAAACTAGCCATTGAAATCTTTATGGATTTCATGGGGTTGCTGTGAGTCAGGAGCTCTGGTAGCATAGTGCCTAAAGCATTTGACTGCTAACCAGAAGGCTGGCAATTCAAATCCACCAGCCACTCCTCGGAAGGAAGGTTGGGCAATCTACTTCCATAGTGATACTGCCTCAGAAACCCAAGGAGGGGTTGCTATGAGTTGGGGCCGACTCGATGGCACATAACAACAACAACAAGAGCATCATTCAGTATTTTGCCCATAGAATCATTCATTATTCTAACTTGAGGCTTGAATTTTTTTTCCTCAGGTCTTTCAGCTTGAGAAATGCTGAGTATGTTCTTCCCTTTTGGTTTTCTAACTCGAAGTCTTTGCATATTTCATTATAATACTTTACTTTGTTTTCTAGAGCCCTCCATTGAAATTTTCTCTTTAGCTCTTTTACTTGATCATTTCTTCCATTTGCTTTAGCAACTCTTCATTCAAGAGCAGGTTTCAGAGTCTCTTCTGATATCCATGTTGGTCTTTTCTTTGTCTCTTGTCTTTTTAATGACCTCTTGCTTTCTTCATGCATGACGTTCTTGATGGTCATCCACCTTGTCTGGTCTTGGGTCCTTAGTGCTCAGTGTGTCAAATCTGTTCTTGAAATTGTTTCTAAATTCAAGCAGTTATATTCAAGGTCATACTTTGGCTCTCATGGACTTGTTTTAATTTTCTTCAAGTACAACTTGAACTAATATGAACAAGGATCTAGTCTGCAGTTGGCCCTCGGCTTTGTTCTAAATAATAATAATCTCCATCTCTTTCCACAAATGTAGTCTGTTTGATTCCTGTGTATTCCATTTGGTGAGATCTATATGTGTAGCTGCTGTTTATGTTGTTGAATAAAAGGTATTTGCAATGGATAAGTTGTTGGTCTTGCAGAATTGTTTCATGGATTCTTTATCGTTTCTATCACAAAGGGCATATTTTCCACTTACTGATCCTTCTTGTTTCCAACTTTCACATTCCAATCAGTAGTAATTATCAGTGCATCTTGATTGCTTGCTTCATCTGTTTCAGACTGCAAAAGTTGGTAAAATCTTTAGTTTCTTCATTTTTGACATTAGTGGTTGGTGCACAAATTTAAGTAATAGTCATATTAACCAGTCTTCTTTGTCTGCATATGGATATTATCCTATCGCTGACAGCGCTGTACTTCAGGACAGACCTTGAAATGTTCTTTTTGATGATGAAATGTGACACCTTTCCTATTCAATTTGTCATTCCCTGCATAGTAGATCATATGATTGTGTGATTCAAAATGACCAATACCAGTCCATTTCAGCTCACTAATGCCTAGGATCTAGATCTTCAAGCATTCTGTTTCATTTTTGACAACTTCCAATTTTCCTAGATTCATACTTTGTACATTCCACTTATTATTGGATGTTTGCAGCTGTTTCTTCTC